ACCCATTGCTCTTTTTCAGGACCTGGAAAAATGGTAGGGATTTGTCCGCAGACCTAGATAGGAATCTTCCCAAGGCTTCCAGCCTTCTAGTCAAAATCTGAACTTCTTTAATGTTTCTGGGGGATTCCATGTCTAGGATAGCCTTCACTTTCTCTGGGTTAGGCTCAATACCCCTATGTGTAACCATAAACCCCAAAAACTTCCCTCCTTGAATTGCAAAAGTGCATTTTTTAGAGTTTAGCCTCAGGTTTACCTTCTTCATGATGTTGAAGACCTCCCTGAGGCCGTCCGCGTGATCTTGAGCTTTTGGGCTTTTCACAATCATATCATCAACATATGCCTCCATATTCTTCCCAAGGACTGTTCGGAAGACGTCAGACACCATTCGGGTATAGGTAGCCCCCGAATTTCTTAATCCAAAGGCCATCACCAAATAGCAAAAAACTCCTTCGGGGGTAATAAATGAAGTCTTCTCAGCATCGTCCGGGTGCACGAAGATCTGATGGTACCCGCTGAATGCGTCCATGAAGGAAAGGAGCTCGCATCCAGCGGTCTGATCCACCAACTGATCTATGCTTGGCAAAGGGAATGGGTCCATTGGGCAAGCCTTGTTCAAGTCTGTATTGTCTACACACATTCTCCAGATTGGTGGCTTAGGGGCCAAAACCACATTAGCAAGCCACTCTGGATAATGAACTTCACGGATATTCTTGATGCCTAATAACATAGCCACTTCCTTTTTAACAAATTCCTTTCTATCCAAAGATAAGTACCTGTGTTTTTGTTTGATAGGGGCAGCCTTTGGATCCACGTTCAGATGATGAACTGCAATGCTGGGGTCGAGCCCTGGCATGTCTTCAGGTCCCCAAGCAAAAATCTTCTCGTACTCTACCAAAACTTGGACTATTTTCGCTTTCAGGTCGGCCTGGAGCCCTGCACTGATTTTAACCCGACATTCTGGTCAGGACGGATCGACCGCGACCTCCTCGAGCTCTGAAGTAGGCTGGGCTTTAAAATGCCCTTCCTCGAACTTCGACAAGTCCTGCTCGATGGCATTTATCCTCACTTCATTTCTTCCATGGGCTTTACAAGCCCTCACATAACAGCTTCTTGCCATTTTCTGGTCCCCTCTCACTGTTCCTACCCCGACAGGTGTGTAAAACATGATGCATAAATGAGCCTGGGAAATGATAGCTCCCAGGTCTTCCAACAGAGGCCTGCCTAAGATGGCTTTGTTCACACTCGGTAATTGAACCACAACAAAATCTGTTTCAACCGTGCGTAAACAGGGCTCCGATCCGAGTTGGATCTTGAGGGTGACCACCCCTCCCGGCTCAATTGTGTCATTGGTGAAGCCTGAGAGTGGAGTTTTGATAGGCTTGAGGGCTGTTTTTTGGAGGTCGATATCGAGGAAGGTTTCCATGTACATGATATTCATTGAACTACCATTATCCACCAAGACTCTATGAACAATGGTATCTGGGACCTCCATCTTGACCATCAATGCATCTCTGTGGGGCGGAGGGCATGGTGGCAGATCATTATTGGTGAAAATGATGGACTCTCGTTTCTGCTTTTTGTTGGCCGGAAAGCGGATTATCTCACCAATGAATAACTGTCAATTCCACTTTTTTCTCTCCGCCGCCGTGTCTCCGCCTACAGGTCCGCCATAGATTTGGTTGACATGCGGACGTTTCTGCCGACCTGAATCTTCCCCCTCTTGCTCATCCTCGAACTGGGCCCCAACCTCTCTTTTCTTGGAAGTTGAGGCTGGTTCATCTTTTCCCCTGCTCCAGGTGTTCTTCCTTTGGGGATCTTGATTTTGCCGGAGTTTCTTCACGAATTAATCCAATTGTCCTTCGCGGGCAAGCTTTTCCACATACCTTTTCAGGATGTAACACCCGTCGGTCTCATGGGTATCGCTCTTATGAATCTTACAGAACTTACCCTTGGAGGATTGACCATTGACGACATTACATCCCTCAAGGATCGTGATCAGACCTTGCTTTGCCGCGTAATCTAGGACTGTACTGACTGGGAAATCAGGTTGGGTAGACATTGGCCCATCTGGAACAGTTGTCTTGTTCTTTCCCCAGCCCTTTTTCTTCTTTTTGAACCCACCGCTTTTCTTTTGATCACAGGTTTCTTTCTCTGGATCCTTTTTTTCTCTTCATTAGGTTGGGATTTTCCAGATTCTTCGTGTCTCTTCCGCTTTTCGGCTTCCTCAACCTCAGCCTGTGCATTTGCACGCAGCAAGGCCTCCTCGTGTGAGATCAGGGGTGTTCGTATGAAGTCTTTGTACAACTCGCCCGACCTCAGAGCACTGGTGAGGATCGCCACAACGGATTTGTCATCTAAGTCCTCCACCTTAATCGACTCATCCCTCCAGCGGACTAGGAAATCAACCAGGGCTTCTTGGGGGCCCTGTTTGATCCCTAGAAGGTGAGACACATTCTTCTTAGAATCCTTAGAGGTAGCAAATCGCGCCACGAATGCATGCGCCAATTCTCGGAAACTTCCTATACTCCCATCTGGTAGAGAATCATACCATTCCCGGGCTGACCCATCTAGGGTCACCGAGAATCCTCTACACTTTATAACATCATCATACCCCATCATGACCATGTAAGCCACGTACCTGGAAACGTGATGCTGAGGGTCTGTTTTTCCCCGTTAGGCCTTGATGTTGCACAGCCTGTACCCTTGTGGCAATGGTGCCTCCATGATTTGACGCGTAAAAGGTTCAGGAATTCTTACGCCATGTTCAAGACCTGTTCTTCCTTCCACCTCCCTTATGAGCTCGTCAATCCTCCTCCTGAGGTCGGCATTATCACGGCCGACCCGGGCATGCAAAGGAGGTCGGCGATCCCCTCGGGCTTGCCTATTCACGTTGATCTCGTCTCTAAGATCTCCTCTACCCGCTTTACGGCGGTGAGACGAAACAACAGCCGAAGAGGCCCCCCCTCACTATGCTCCGCCCTTGAAGAGAGCCTTTCATGGACAGAAACTATTTGTCCACTTATCCGATTCGTCACCGGAATCCTTAGGGTTGCTCTGGATTGATGGGAGCGTTGGGATAGGGCTAGTGGTGAGTTCCTCTGACGTTAAGGGGAGTTTTCTCCTCGCGGGATCATAGATGGAGCCCGTCGAGCGGAAGAAGGTCTCCCATTAGGATCAGGAATGATACCTTGGAACACAGTCGTCAAAGTTTCCACCGCCCTTTGAAACGTAGCTAAACTTGCCAATGCCTGCCCGGGGTTTGGAATTGCGGTGGCCGCGCCGCCGTGCGCCTAAAATTCCCCACGCCTTGGATTCGGTTTCTCAGATCACCCTGCGCGGCGATGTTGTCATTACGCCTTCGGAAATCACTAGTGGAAAATTGCATATTTGCGGCGGTTTTTAACCCCTATTTGCGACGGTTTTAACTGCCACCAAAGGCTCTGTCGCAAAAAAATACGCGCGGCGGTTATTATAGATAAAAACCGCCGCATATTTTTTTTTTTTTTAAAAATCGAAAATAAAATAAAACGCGGCGGTTATTACTAAAAGAACCGCCGCGGATTCTATAAATCTGGAGTAAAATGGGCGGCACGTATTAGCATAAGAACCACCGCAAATTAGAAATGAAAATAAAAAAATTGAAAGCATGGCGGTTATTAACAAAAGAACCGCCACATTTTTCATTTTTTTAATTTTTGATTTGAAAAATGTTATAATTACCAAATTTGTTTAATTAACATAAATAAGCAAAAACCCATACAAACCACATCAAACATACAACACTAGTACAAAAAGGCTTTTTACATCATACATTCTACATGGGTTACTTCGAATCCTATGTAAAAAAGCGGTGCGGGGTGTTTTTTATAATTTATGAAACATTTTCCAAATTGGTTATAAAGATGACCGATGTCATATAATATTTCGGGGTACTTTGTGTAAACCTTCAAATTCTTTTGAATTCGGTTAAATATTTAACCGATGTGAATCAGAAAACGGGGGTAATTTTTATAATTAATGAAAGTTCTGTTCTAGGTTCAGTCGGTTAGAACTTACAAACTGTATTGTTTATAACGACATATAAACATCTCTTTCCTTTGTGCAGCAAGCAAATTGAGAAGCTACAAACCTCGCGGCGAATCTGAGGCGATACACGACGTCCCGAGCCTCCGTTGCCACTTGCGATTTGGAGTCACTTGAGACCAAGGGACGTCCACTGTACTGCCGCCCCACGACTTCTACCGTCGAATTCCAGTCACTCCTGAAGATGTCCATGGCCACCACTACGAGTTCCACCGACGAATTCCAGTTACTCCAAGAGGCGTTCATAGTCACTACCTCGTCTTCCAGAAGCGACTTCTTCCAGATCTGGTATTAAACTAGTTAAGGTAGATCTGGTATTAAACTAGTTTGGGTATTCTTAATTTCATTGTTTATTTTATGAATAAAACCTTAAAACCTTTATATGCATAGGTGTTAATATGTTATTGTGCTTGAATTTTAATAATCTATTATTTGATCATTACTCCGTATTATATATTTTTGCTTGTTTAGCCTTATACTCAGTAGATTTTACTTCATTGGGCATTACGAATGTAAAGTGTAGCAGTAAGATGTTTGATGAAATGTTTCAGATAAAATATAAATTTAATTTTTTCCATATATACAAATGAAACTGTACGTATCTGGATAGGAACCTTCTAAAAGTTGCCAAACTTACAATTCACACTGAAAAATGTAGCATAGAGTTTTTAATCATTACACTTGGAGAGAATCAAAATTATTCTTAAAGTAGTTGTAAACATCTGCTAGGTTCGACTGATTCACTATTTCTGTCATGATGAAATTAAACTCTTACACTATCATAATTATTAATTTTTTTTATTTTTAATTTCTACACTATGAGTGAAAGTTTTGGTTAAAATTTACACATAGCATCCATAGATTCACAGAAAAGGTTACAGAAGCATGAATTGCTCTCCGTTTTATGATACTAATTGTGGGAAAGAGTACCTCAAAGAAGAAAATGAATCTGGTGCCTCGTCTTCACGAAAGGTTAGTTGTTACTACTCTTATATGATTTTTGCAATATGAGATGAATCTGCTTATTAAACAACTTTACTGATGTGTTTAACTCTAGGAAGAAAGTGTTCACAAGTGGTGCCAGCAAGCCTTGGTAAACTATCAAGTCAGGGATGAAATTCCTTGGATCCGCCAGCACGCACAGTCTTCAACATCCGTAGTATTTTTGGGACCCAACTGCCCGTTATTCTGCATAAGGTAATTTAGGTCCTTATTTTTTACATCATGACCTGAAATTTAGATGATAAATTATATTATTGTTATGAACATACATTAAATATGTTGTTTATAGAAGCATGGAGTGTAGTTGAATTGTTTGAGATATGTTTAAAAAGTACACACCTAAAATAGGTCCTAAAATATGTGTATACTTTTCAATGTGTGTGAATTGCACATAAGATGTTTGAAAAACTGCCGAGCATTTAAGCAAGCAAGTCGAAATCTGTACTGAAGCATTTCGATTAAGATGTTGCTGTAATAATGTTGATTTTGTTGGTATAGTATTCTGTTGCTTTAAGTGTTGTTTGCTACTAGAATGAACACATTTGTTGTTGGTTTACTCGAAAAAATGATTGAAAAAGCTCATGGTTGCTTGCAAAGAAAAAAACTATCGAAAATTTGCACACTTTTGATAAACAATTAACTCAAAATATGACAAATACTATATACAGAGTATAAGATAGTAATAATAATATAGAGAGAGATGAAAGAACTTTTCCATTTTCTAAATTAAGTCTCTCAAACGCTCATTACTTATATTAAAATGTCACCCCCTATTTGTATTAAAAAATTAATAGAAATATATTTCCATGCATTGCGATAATACCAACTAATTAGTATGTGTTGTTAGTTAGCTCTTAAAGTTTGGAGTGTAGAACGTTATTGCCAAAACTGCTACACTTTACCTGTTTGTTTCCCGTTTCATCACTAAAACGTCATTTATAAAACAAATTGGGGGCCCTGCATTAACTTGTTCTATACAAACTGATTGGCATTGTCAGGTCACATGTGATGCCTGGTTGGACGCCTGGTTGGAGAGACATTAAAAACTACAGTGCTGCTATTGTCAAGACATTACAAATTAGAGTATTAATGGACATGATGTTCTGTAGTTTTTATTCATTTCATGTTACGTTTTTGTTATGAAACAGAATTTTAAGTTCTCCGATTTGTGTAAAAGTGAAGTGTTAAGTAAGTTTTGTCATTTCCTTCTATTGTCATTACAAATTAGAGTATTACTGGACATGATGTTTTGTAGCTTTTATTCCCTTCATGCCACGTTTTTGTTATGAAACAAAATTTTAAGCTCTCCGATTTGTTGAAAAGTGAAGTGTTAAATAAGTTTTGTCACTTTTGTAATAGGCTCCAGTTTTTTTATAAAAAAAAAATGAAATTTTACATCGGTTATTTGTAAAACTGATGTGGAATCTCTTCCACATCGGTCAAACCCCATGTGGTATATGATATGCAACGAAGGAATTCAAGCATTTTCCATATCGGTTATTAAAAGTCCGATGTAGATTATTTCACATCGGTCAAAACCTATGTTAAATGTGCTATGGAGTGGCTATGTTAATACTTTTCAAAATCGGGTATTGCATGACCGATGTAGAAAGATTTTTCACATCGGTTGTAGAACCGATGTGAAAAATCTCTACTTTTCACATGGGTTGGAACCACATCGGTTAAACAACCGATGTGAAAAGCCTTTTTTAACCGATGTGAAAAGTCTTTTTTGTACTAGTGCAAACATAAAAATGGAATCATTCTTTCCAATTCAAAAGTATTTACATACATCAAAAACTATTTACGTTTGAATGTAAAAACTAATTGTCATGTTACATATCGAAATACGTAGTAATAACAAAGTTAATCTCAAGTTCACAAGTGAGGAGATCTCCCCATGACCCCATTGGATACCGATATTTCGTCACTTTCCATGGATCTCGTTCTTCATCTTCTTTTGAACCTTCAACAGCCCCTCCAACAAAGCACGGCCGCCTCTTCTCCCTTTTCTCCAGCTGCCGCCAGCCCCCCACCGTCTTTCATCATGAATAATAGGCAGTTACTGGGAACACATGCCATATACTTCGTATGAATTTTGATAACAAGATACACACACACGGATTTTTATATAACACACACACCCTTTCCAAAAAAAATATATACACACACACGAAAAAATGAAAAACAAAAAGGAATATTTGGGTGTATATACAACTTTAAATATGTACAATTAAATTTATGTCTGTATAAATTAAATAAATATCATAACTAACTCATTCAATTGAATAAAAAACACACACGTTCATAAAGAGCTAAAATCACGTAACCTCAAATTAGCTACAAAAGTGCTATGCACTTAAAAAAACATAATATAGGTTATTAATTTGCCCTATCATATTTATTTAAGCTATATAGTCATTTAACCCAAACAAAAATTGAAAATCAAGGAAGCATATACTCCATGTACGTTTAACAAAAATTAAAATCAAAGATGCCTTACCTTGCCTCCAGATCTACACTGGAGCTTCTGAAGCATGTGAGCAAGTACGGCCCAGATCTACACCGGAGCTTTGACGATCCATTCGATCAAAAGTCCTTCTGCAATGCACCGGCGACCTAGCTACTTGCCCGGAAGAACATACACGATGTCAAGATTTTCCATAGCTTCAGGCGGAAGAGATTTACCATCCTATAGCTAGGGTTCTTCATTCTTGTTTGCCGGTCACGAACGGAACTGAGAAACCCAGATGCCGCTTTAAAGTGTTTTAATCATTTGCAGCGGTTCTTAGTGTAGAAACCGTCACGCATGTGAATGCTTTTTCCATTTTTTTGAATGCTTTTTACATAAATCAATATTATTTGCGGCGGTTGTTACGCTAATAAGCGCCGCGCGTGTAGAAAAGTTTATTTCAATATATAAGCGGCGGTTCCTAAACTAATAACCGCCGCATGTATTTCATTTCAATTACAAATTAAAAGAAAATTAAAATATTTGCGGCGGTTTTTACTTGAAAACCGCCGCGCGTGACACAAATGTTTTATTATTATTAATCTGTGGCGGTTATTTCAAAACCGCCGCATATCCATTGCCGCAAATCAATGATTTTCCACTAGTGAATCACTGCGTTGTGACCTTGAACCTTCGTCCTCGATCACAACCTGGTTATAGCGATCCCCGCCTTGATTGCTACCAGCACGGTTGTGACTGTTTGATCCAACCATCGTTTCTCGTAGATTCTCCTCTCAACGAGAACACCAAATGATGGAGTTTAATCCAACTACAAGAGCTAAATCTATCAAAAGATATGAGAAACGTATGAAAAGTATGAAAGAATATGGTAGCGTAAGGCAGTATTCTCTTTATTCTGAAGGATCAATTGGTCGTCCCCTGGTAGGGTGTTTACAAGAAGTATTTATAGACTTTAGGAGTTATTATTTTAGGAGGAATCTAATACAATAAATGCTAATTAATGCATTATATTCTTGCTCGAAATAGAACTCCTCTCATGCCTTGGATATCAAGCATTAATTGTCTCCTTCTTGTTTCCAAACTCCGGACGAGGTCTGCCTGTTGCCAAATAATTGTGCTGAATAACTGCTTGCCACGTAACCCGAGGAATATCCCGGCCTCACTAAAACTCCGCCCAGGCTTGAGGTCCGCTGTGCAGCCCGGCCTGACTGTGGGTTCCTATCGTGGGCTTGATCCTGTTTGGGTCTGGCGGCATATTCGACATTAATCCCGTTGATGAGCTGATCCTATTAATTTAGGCTAATCTCGTTATGGGCTGATCCCATTATGCGCTAATCCTGTTAATTAGGCTAATCCCGTTATGGGCTGAATTACGTAATTGGGCCATGGTTCGAGTTCATTGTACCATCCGCCTGTTTTGTCTAACTTGGGATTTACATATTTGTGTGCTTTATATATGATTTTTCTCGATTTACTTGGTTGTATCCGATGCACCGAAAAGATGAAGTTTTCACTCACTTTAAAAATTTTAAGACTCTAGTTGAAAATCTTTTTAATACTAGTATTAAAAGTTTTCAAAGTGATGGAGGGGATGAATTTGTTAATTTTAATATGCAGTAATTTTATAATACACATGAAATTTATTTTCGCATATCTTGTCCTGATACTCCCCAACAGAATGTGGTTGCTGAAAGGAAACATAAACATCCTTTAGAGTTAACTAGGACTATGCTACTTGAAGCCTCTGTTCCTAGCATTTTTTGGGTTGATGCCATACTGACTGCTGCATATATTATTAACCGCTTACCTTCTCCACTTCTTCTCGGCGTATCTCCATACGAGAAAGTTTTTCATAAAACTCCAGATTATTCTTTTTTTTTGTGGGAAAGGGTGCAAATAGGTCCATGTACTAACCAAAAAAGGTCAAATAAGCCCTTATTTAGAAAGCTCTGTCCGGCCATCGTCATTTGGGGTGGTTCCCGGTGGAATTTTTTGATGAAATTTTTTTAGCATCTTATTCATCAAGTCTAGTTTACTCATACCAAATTTCAACTAAAACTTCAATCGGGAAGACATTCAAATGAATTCTTGAAGATAACTGCGATTCTAACTGCGCGGTTATTTTCAAGAATTCATTTGAATGCCTTACCGATTGAATTTTTAGCTGAAATTTGGTATGAGTAAACTAGACTGGATAAATAAGATGCTCAAAAAATTTCATCAAAAAATTCCACCGGGAACCACCCTAAATGGCGGTGACCAGACAGAGCCTCCTAAATAAGGGTTTATTTGACCTTTTTTGGTTAGTACATGGGCCTATTTGCACCTTTTCCCCGTCTCATCCTTGCACAGGATCACACACTCTGCTCTTTCTGAACCCCTGACACCGGCCGACACCTCCCCTTACTCCACTGGTCCTGCTGCTCCTTCGCACAACCACTAGCCCGCAAGTCCACCAGCCACTCATCTACCACCTGTTAGTATTTCACCTCACTGCCACACCTATCACGCCAGTAGCCTCATCTCCGCCTACTACGACTAGCAACGACCAGACCTCCTACTCGACCACCAACTGTCCTCCCACCTCAGACATACCTCCCGCCTCCCAAATTAATTGTCAAACTAAGGCCAAATCTGGATTTTTTAATCCTAAATCCATTTTTAATTTGCAAATAATTGTTACTCAAGCGAATCCTACATGTTTTTCTGAGGCACATAAAAATTTAAAATGGCGAGAAGCAATGGCTGAGGAATTTAACACGCTTATCACTAATAATACTTGGGAGTTAGTTGCGTTTGATAACACTAAAAATGTGGTTGATTCTAAGTGGATTTATAAAACTAAATTTCATTCTGTTTCTATTGAGCGCCATAAAGCGCGCTTGTTGCTCAGGGTTTTAATAAGCAGGTAAATATTGATTTTTCTGAGACATTCAGTCTTGTCGTTAAACTCACCACTGTTCGTATTGTTCTTACATTAGCTGTTTCCTTTGGGTGGGTTATGCGTCAGTTAGATGTCAAAAATGCTTTTCTTCATGGTCATCTTACTGAAGAAGTTTATATGCATCAATCGCGGGGATTTGTTCTTCCCCACTTTCCTGATCATATGTATCGTCTGCGAAAGGCCATTTATGGCCTTAAGCAAGCCCCGCGGGCATGGTTTCATAGATTTAATAGCTTTCTTCTTTCTCATAATTTTTTGTGCAGCAAGTCTGATAATTATTTATTTATTTATTTATTTATTTATTTATTTATTTATTTATTTATTTATTTATTTATTTATTTATTTATTTATTTATTTATTTATTTATTTATTTATTTATTTATTTATTTATTTATTTATTTATTTATTTATTTATTTATTTATTTATTTATTTATTTATTTATTTATTTATTTATTTATTTATTTATTTATTTATTTATTTATTTATTTATTTATTTAATTAATTATTTATTTATCGGAATGAGTCATCTGTTCTATATTTATTGTTGTATGTGGATGATATTATAATCACTAGTAATTCCTCCTCTCTTATCACCACTTTTATCTGTCTCATTGCTTCACACTTTTCTATGAAAGATCTTGGTGATCTAAATTATTTTTTAGGTCTCATAGCTTCTGAGGTTTGTTTCTCTCACAGAAAAATATGTGTCTGATCTTCTTCATTGTTTTCACCTCCACACCTTAAAAGCTGTGCGAACTCCACTAGCCACCCGAACATCTTTGTATCTCACAGATGTTACTGAGTACCGTAATATGGTAGGTGGATTACAGTATTTAACTTTGACATGACCTGATATTACATATGCAGTTCATTTAGTGTCTCAATTTATGCATGCTCCTCGTACTACTCATATGATTGCAGTCAAGCGTGTTTTCAGATATTTAGTGGGCACTCTTGATCATGGACTTTGGCTCCAGAAATCTCCTACGCCTCTACGTATTCTGATTCTTATTGGGCCGGGTGTCCTGATAGTTCTCGCTCTACCACCAGGTTTGCTGTCTTCTTGGGTCCTAATCTTGTCTATTGGAAATCCAAAAAGCAGCCTACTGTGTCCAAATCCTCCACTGAAGCTGAATATCGTGCCATTGCTTATACAGTTCAAGACACCATACATATTCGATCTATCTTGTTCGAGTTGAGCTATCCAGTTCGTGAGCCAGTTCGTCTTCTATGCGACAATGTCTTAGCTTCATATTTGACGGCCAATCCTGTTCAGCACGCTAGGATCAAGCACATTCAGATTGATTATCATTTTGTTCGTGAGAGGGTGGTCCATGGAGATTTACTTGTTACATGTGTTCCTACTCATCTTTAGTTAACTGATATCTTTACAAAGAGTATTTCTAGTCAGCAATTTCATTTTTAAAAGACAACCTGCGCGTTGTATCTCTCGCACAGTTTGACGGGATGTAATAGTTAATATTAATTATGAATCATTCTATATTTTGGGAACCTATTATTTAATTATAAATACATCTCTCAGGACCCTCATTAGGGTAACATGTGCTAATTATTCACATCTGTCCCATATTAATCTTTCAACTTTCTGTTTTCGGCCATTCCAAAACAAGGTTTGTTTTCCTTTTATACCAAAGAATTTGTGGTTCATATCATTTCGCTTTCATATGCTCAACTCTACACCATACAATTTTCACTTTCTCAATCTACGTGCAAAAGCTATCTGGAAGAGTATATTGGGATGAGAGGAGGGGTAACATTCTTAAATCTAATATAACCATGAGTGACCAAATATATGATTACCCAAAATGATAAAGAACAATTAAAGACATCTCAAACAAAATAAATGCAATTCATCTAATAATGTGATATTATGAAAGAATAACTGATGTATAAGCTTCTAAGTTTTTCTTTATCATAAACCTAAAAATTGGAAGAATGACCCGCAAACTCGGTCTCGATATGATTCATTGTTATATTATCTCAGTCAATCTGTAAGAATGATAATTGTTACAATCATTGTTGCATGTGATACGAACATGTGAAATAGATTTGTTGATGTTTATTCCCCGAGGTCCAAGGGCCCAACACCTTCCCTTGGGCTTTCGTTGGATATTTTAATATGTTTGATATATTTAGTGGGTTAGTTAATAGTTCAAAGACATAAATACTTAGCAAGAAAGGAAAATACGACAAGTATTGAGAAGTACTAAGAATGATGACATCACACCCTCCTAATCCGAGTGCTGAGCCTCTAATCTAAGTTGTGATTACAAAAGAAGTAGAAAGAAGGGCTAAAGCTAGAGAATACAAGTTTCCAATCCCTAACAATGAAATAAATGATACCATTTATACTACCATGGAGTAGGTGGTAGTGATGATGTGGAGGATTATGAGTGGCTAATCTTCTAACCACCAAATCTTGCATATCTAGTGCATTTAATGCGTTTCCTGCTAACCAAACTGAGCGTGCCGGTTGAGAGCTCCATGGTTGCCAATAGAACGATCCAATGACATGGTGTCGCGCGGCGCAAGCCGCCCAGGCTGATCCGAGCGGTCCAGGCTTCTGGTTCTTATTTCTTCACAGGGGTATTGTGCCTACCCCGTATTGGGTCAATTACCCCAACACAAGTCTCTCACTTCAGATGTTCCGAGCATGCATGAGACATAAGTAAGTAGAAAAAAGATTAACCCCGAGCCGCGCGGTCTCGATGCTCCTGATATGACAACTATCATGGCGATTCCCAAGATTCGAAGTGATTGTTACTGCGGGCGGTTCAACTCCCAAGGTAACTGTAATGATTGTCTGACCATTCATCTCCGCGACATGTGTCCTGGGTATGCTCCTCGCCACGTGTTTCTTTGTGACTGGGCCTTCGGGCGGTGGCTTCTGCTATAAATATCCGCTCAATGGGATGGATCAAGGCTTATGAATTTCTACTATTCATGACTCTAGGACTTCAAATTTCTATCTACTCCAAAGTTCATTGCCAGCTTTTCCTCCGGCGCTTGAAACAAGTACTCAGCTTCCCCCCCATCCCCTTTTTCTAATATCAACCTCTTGGGAGTGTGAGGTGGATCATCGGCCCTCGAGTGAGCACGTGAACTCTTCTGCCGCCAGTGAGGATGTGGATATGGTTCGTAAGTATGCCGGTGATGCTGCTGCACATTATGAAAACGCCCAAGCCCCATCAGATGGTCGAAATGACTCTGGGATGAGATAGACGTCTTCAAAGATGACCCCCCCTAATGATCTACTGCGTCACGAGGTGCTCCTAGAGAATGCTCGCAGCTGCGAGCACTTCATCTCAGTTCATTTTATGGATCTGATCCCAATCTACCTATCGCCGCCGGTTGTGTACTGCTTGCGCGGGGCGGTTCATCTGATGAAACGCTGCCCGGGGATGACCATGATGCATAATCATGATGGAATTTTTCTAATGTATCCCATAATCCGCATTCATTACTCCTTTATGTCCGCGTTTCTTCTGTTAGGTCCCTGCCGCTGCGAGATAGCTATGTGTAACTGATACCTTGCCTGGTAAGCCCAGGGTGAGTTTGACCTCGCTAAAATCCCGCCAAGGCTCGAGGCATGCTGACCAGGTCGACCTGGATGTGGGTTCCTTTCGTGAATCATAGTCCCATGTTAGGCCCAATTGGCATTTGTTAATTAATTAATCCTGTTTAATGGGCTTGGTTCTCTGGTCCCATGTGATGGGCTTCACGCGTGTGATTTCTGATTGGGCCATGGTCCATCCATGATTCCATGATACCATCAATAAGAAAAACATATATTCTTTTGAATTTCTGTTCTTTTGAGTTGTTGTTGGCCATGTTAATTATTTTTGACTCTCTATCCCCTTAGATTAGAACAAGAGGGGTGATGCAATTATTAAAAACATAGTTATGTGATTGGAATTGAGTGAATAAATTTAAAATAATTAACATAAGAATGAATTTGAATATCGCAAATATGATCAATGATAGAGAGGCTAAGATGGACCAAACATGAGAATGAAGAAGAGGGATAGGTTAGTTTTAAATTAATTACGCTAATCCTAAACTCTTCATTTTTCAGCATTTTTTTTTTGAAATTTTAGACAAAAAATGTTACAATAACACGAACAAACACTTAACGCCTGTTTGGTAACACTGAAATTGGATGAATTGACTGATTCTTCTGAAATTTATGAAGTTCTGACAAAAGTGGATGAATTGGTTGATTTTGCTGATTTGTGACAAAATTATATATACAATATTAAAAAAAAGTATATGAAAAAATGCTCTAAATGATTCTCTACAGTAACTTAAAGCAATACAATCAAAAAAACAATTTCAACCTTATTTTTTCTTATCGTTACACAACTCAAAAATCTAATTATCTATATAAAAAATTACTTCCTTTTGAATGTTACCAAAATGAGCTTTTAATTTCGGCCTTTTGAATATGATAAAAAAATCGGCCTTTTGAAGGATTATAAAAGTTAATCTGGTCGTGATGCTTCGCACAATTAGAGAGAGGGAAGGAGAGAGAGACTGGATCGAGTTTGTTAATGGGGCGTGAAATCGAGCTTGATTGTGGCAGCGATGCAGTGGAGGAGGAGAAGATGGTTGAAATCAATGTGAGATTAATCGGCCCATGGCCGCCTTCTCGCATTGCCGTTCCTTCTTCCGTCAAAGTACACACGCATCCTCACCTTAACTATGCGATTTACGTTGTTCGCATGGAAGTTGTTTGTTTTGCCTGTGGTTTTATTTTGTTTTCTTCTTCTTCTGAAACAGAGGCATATTACCTTTAAATTTCACTTCTTTTGGCGCTGGACCTGCTAGTTTTGTGAATACTGAGTAGTAAAAAAGTAGAAGTTGTCTCATTTGTTGTTAATAGAAAGTTCCGAGAGTATGTCGCTGGGTACAGATTGAATGATATGATCACAGGCTCATAGTTGCTGAATGTGTTTTGGTGGAGCTAATATGTTTCTAGCTGTTAACCTTCATTTACTTGTGGAGAATTTGATGGAACATGTGTGGTATATGTATATCAAGTGAGAATGTGAGGCTTGATGTCATTGCTCATGAGTCATGAGAACAATTATCTTCCTTTACTAATAGAGGATCATATGAAAACTCTACCTCAGTTGTGGTTAGAATTGTAGGTATGAAGATGCATGTAGTGAAAGTCGTGATATGAAAAAGAGATCAGAGATATCTTCACTGCATTTCCAGATTTTATTGTTGAGAGGAAGAGATCCCATTTCCAAATTTCAAGCATAATGTGGATAATGGACTTCGCTATTTTTCTTACTAGTGAAGAGTCATCTTGGTGTGCTACGTCCATTGTATTTTCATCTTATTTTAATTTTTAGTTTGGGACTATATGACATACAGATTGAGACTTGGAGAAGTTTAGGAGAGAAAGACATCGAGTGACTAACACATTTTTTCAACATGATTTGGAGAAATAACAAAATGTCTGTGAGTTGGTGGAAGAGTACTCTCATTCCCCTATTTAAAAATAAGGGTGATGTGCAAGAATGTGCCAACTATAAGGGATTAAACTTATGAGTCACACCATGAAACTTTGGTAGCGAGTGATTGAACAAAGACTTCAAAAAAGCGTGAAAATTGCGGAGAATCAGTTTGGTTTTATGATTGGACGCTCAACAACGGAGACCATTCACCTTAGACAACTCGTGGAGAAGTATGTAGACACTAAAGTGGATTTGCATTTGGTGTTCATTAATTTAGAAAAAAACATATGACAGGGTATCTCGATAAGTTCTTTGGCGGGCCTTAACTAGAAAAAGCATATCATGCAAGTATATAAGTATCATCATGGATATGTATGAGGCTTGTACTACAAATGTCCGTACTAATGTAGGGAGAACCGTAGAGTTCCCTATTACTATCGGAATGCACCAAAGATCGATTTTGAGTTCTTTCTTATTTGATATAGTCAATTCAAGAAGATATACCGTGGTGCATGATGTTTGCAGATGATATTGTATTGATTGATTAAATGCAATCGGCTTTTAAAACAAAGTTGGAAGTATGACGACAAACATTAACCAAGGGTTTCAGACTGAGCCGAAGCAAGACTAAGTATATGGAGTGCAAGTTTGGTGGAGGTAAAAGTAGTATCAACAGTGAGATTATTTTTTATGGTAAAGAGATATCGGTGTATGATATGTTCCGTTACTTGAGCTCCATAGTTCAGAAGGATGATGAATTAGATGAAGATGTATCCCATAGAATCAAAGCTGAGTGGATGAAATGGAAGAATGCATCAGAATTTCTATGTGATCGAGGTATGCCGACTAAATTGAAAGGTAAATTTTATCAAACCACAATTAGGCTTGCATTAATGTATGACGTAGAGTGTTGGGCGGTGAAATAATGTCACATTTAAAAGATGAGTGTGGCAAAAATGCGTATGTTGCGTTGGATGTGTGGACATACTAGAAAACACCGCTTGAGGAATGATATAATTAGACATAAGGTGGGAAAATCACCTATAGAAGATAAGATGCAGGAGTCTCGTTTGCGGTGATTTGGTCATGTGCGTAGAAGAACAAGTGATGCACCTGTTAGACGACTTGAGAGGTGGGGAGAAGAGGTGGGGAGGAGAGGTATGAGAAGACCCAAACAAACTTGGATTAAAGGAATCATAAGTCAGAACTGATATGCGTCTTCTTGAGTTGGACAAAAATATAGCTTTGGAGAGAGCAAAGTGGAGGGCGACATTCATGTGGACGATTGATCTCTTTTCTATCATTCCTCTTTCATTTTCTTTTATCGTTTATCTTCTTTATCTTTTTATATTCTCATGTTATTTTTATCTTCTAGCTTTTTTATGCTCTTTTATCTTTTTGTCTTTTATCTTTCTTATGTTATAAGGTTATTGTTATCGTATACGTAGTATTTATCTTTATCTTATCTGTTTTATCTCACTTTTTTTCTTCTTCTTGTCTGTCTTCTCTTTTTGGCACTGATTGCATGATTCGATTCATGTTAGTCGACCCCAAAATCTTTTGGGATTAAGGCTTGGATGTTGTTGTTGTTATAGATTAGTTGCTAGAATTTGATTCATGTTAGCCAACCCCAAAATCTTTTGGGACCAAGGCTTGATTGTTGTTGTTGTAGATTAGTTGCTAGAACTTGACGAAAAAATTATCTTAAACTCGTTGATAGTGCAAGGGCTTATACTTAGTATTTTAATACCTTATTGATTTCTATCCTCAAAACATTGCAACTACATTTTATTGCAGTACCATATGATGCTCCATGCTATTAATATCTTTTTAATGGTGTCAACAACAAACAGGTGCATGATTTAAGAAAATTAATTGCCAAAATTCACCATTTGCCTGTTGAGGCTTTGAAGCTTGTTTTACAAGGAAATGTGTTGCATGACAACCAAAACGGAGATGATATCATAGTTCAGCTCAAAAGTGGAGGTCTGTTACTTATATGAGATTCTGAGGACAAGACTTCATTTATTGAAGTTCTATTTTGCTTCTGTATGGGGTGTTTGTCACTAAGAGATTATAAGTCCAAAGTCATTTTCACTATATAAGCATGATAAGTCGGCCTTAAAATCACATTTGCAAATCTTTTTTGTTGTTGTTAATTCAGGCACCTCGGCCACCTTTTGTGGTCTCACTCTCACCCATAATGGCATAATCTATACTATGTTACTAAAGAATACTTTGATGGGGTATCCTCCTCTTTCTTTAAATTTATAGGCCATCTATATGCAGAATACATCGGGGGTTTCTGATTGTTTGATGTTACTTTCTTACTTATTGGTGCTTAACCATTTCGATAAGTATTTTGCAAATCATTGAATGTGATAAGTTTCAATGTCCACAAGTGGTAACATTTAATGCGATGATTTTCTAGATTCTTTGACAATTGCTGTGAAACCAAAGTCTCCTGCCAATCATTTACGAGATGAATTCGACAATGATGAAGACGAGCTGGTATTAATCAACTTTTTTCATAGATTTTACTTATATTTGTTGTGTAATTTCTGATATCAATTCGCATAGGCCCGTTATTTTTGGTGGTTTTTAGAAGTTTCATCTGCCACAGTCAAGTAGTTGGTGGAAAAAGAAGTTTTTCTTTGTATTACGGGATAGATTGAAGCTTCCAGGTAACAGCCTCATCGTTTGCAGTGATATTCGTTCTTCTAAAAAGTATAACCACTTCTGAACACTCTTACTTCTCGTAGATATGTTTTTGATGGCAATTTTCTCAATCAGCTTGAAGATCTGGGCAATCATTGTTGTTTGGTTTATTCTGGCACCTATTGCTCATAGATTTGACATTGGACCATTATATGTAAGTACAGTTTACAGATGCATATTTCAAAAACCCTATTCTAAGAATGAAATAAATATGTGGTGCCTATTTTAGGTTGTATTTATATATATTCAGTATCTTTGCAGTTATATATTTCTCTCTGCAATATTGCACTAACTATCCTCAATCTTGTTGCATAATGAATTTACTAATATTACCTCCGTCCCATTGGACATTACCAACTTTGAATTAGGTGAGAAATAAGAAAAATAGAAATTGCATGTTTCAGGTTTGTGTAGATGATAGAGAAATGAGAAGAGCCACAAATTAGTTACTTTAATGGGAAAGTGGTCAAGTTTTTGGGACAACCAAAAAAGGAAAGTTGGCAAAGTCCAATAGGATGAAAGGAGTACGCATAAAGCTGCCATACTCTTTGGTTTTCCTGTCATAATCTCATTTCACAATTCATCTGGTTAGTGAAAGGAAACATATTATTGCTCCGGTTGGTAGCCATAAATTGGCTTAGGCTGCTTATCAAAAGAATAAATAGCATTTATGACTTGTATGTTTGTTGTCTGAAATAGATTTTAGATTATGTTTTCCCCTTAAGAAAATTCAATTCAATGATTCTGTCATCTCAGCCAATTTGTCCTTACCAATAAGGCCCTAAAACTTAAAACATGAATCTGAAACAATTTTTGTATTTATTAGATAAACATACAAGTTCATGTTCATCTGTTATTGTGATAAAAAATGGAATGAATGTCATTTATGTATTGATTAAATTAACTGCAAATCTGGAACATCTTACCACACAATTTAAATGTAGAAGACGAAACCCCAATGTAACTGTAATAAGGTAATTGACTAAACTAATCCTTACTTATAATTATGTATTTAATGTAATCTAACCGTTTACTCGTATACGTATGGAGGATTGATTTTGTTTATGTTTGTCTCCATTTTTCTCTATTTACTACTTTTAATTTCGAGGTCATATGCCGATACATATTAGCGGACCCCAAACTCTTCTAAGATTAAGGCTTGGATGTTTTTTGTTGTAACAATTTAGTCGTATACTGCAAGTCTTAAAACAAGTTAATCATCCTTCGGTCCTTACTCTGCTGTCTTCGGGGGGAAAGCTATACATATTTTTGAATTTTACTCTAAATGTAATCAAATTACAGTGTAATGAATCTTCCACTTATTTGATGGGTTGTTTAGGAGATTATTTATGGTAGTTTATAAAACGATTATAGTTTTCATTCTTCCACGCCGGCACTATGGTTTTGAATCCATGGTGTTATTTATGAGGTATACATTTTGAAACAATTGGAAATTCAAATATACAAATGACAACAACATCCAAGCCTTAATCTCCAAAGATTTTGGGATCAGCTAACTTGAATATATCCATGGTATCAGAGACAAAAGAGAAAAAGAAGAATAAAAAATAAAGTAAGATAAATCGGATAAGATAAAGATAAATATAAGATAACAATAACATAAGAACATTATAAAGATAAAAAGAAATTGCCCAAAATGGGACTAAAACATGGACTAAATTCCTAAATAGGACATTAAGTTTTTTATTCCCTAAATAGGACTAAAGATTACAATTTTACCCTTTAGCTAATTAAACCCCTAAAGATCGAAGCCGACTCCATCACTCATCCAACCGCCTAGAAAATTCCCCAACCTGGATCATAACCTTCTTCCTCTCCATTGATCTCCAGACTTCTCCCTTGCGACTTTCCCATTGGCCGGCGGTAGCTTCTCCACCTTCGATCGGAGCTTATCCGCAATCAATCGCAGTCATAAAAGAACATGAGAAATGTGAAAGTATATTAGAATATACTTTAGAATATGCTTTAGAATATACTAGGAATATACCATATATAGTATTATTGTATAGCATCTTTTATAGGAATATTCTATCTTTGTAATCTATATTTATAGGGCTTTACCCTTCAATGAACATACAGAAAATCCTTTCCATTTCTTAGTTGTTCATATGCTCTATTTCAACAAGAAAGATAGAAGATAAAAATAACATAAGAATATAGAAAGATAAAGAAGATAAACGATAAAAGATAAAAGGAGAGAGAAAAGATAGAAAAGAGATCAATCGTCCAAACGTATGTGCGCCCTCCGGTTTGTTCTCCAAAATCATACTCTCATCCAAACCAAGAAGACGCATATCAGTTCTGATTCCTCTAATTCAAGTCTGTTTGGGTCTTCCTCTCCCGCTTCTCCCCGCCTCTTCTCCCTTACTTCTCATGTTGTCTAACAAGAGCATCACTCGGTTTTCTGCGCACATGACCAAACCACCGCAATCGAGACTCCTGCATCTTATCTTCTATAGGGGCTACTCTCACCTTTTTTCCGATTATCTCATTCCTTAAGCGGTCTTTTCTGGTATGTCCACACACCCAACACAACATATGCATCTCTGTCACACTCATCTTTTGGATGTGACATTGTTTCACCGCCCAACACTCTACATCATACATTAATGCAGGCCTACATTAATGCATGCCTAATTGTTGTTCAATAAAATTTACCCTTCACTCTATTTGGCATACCTCCATCGCATAGAAGTCTTGATGCATTCTTCCATTTCATCCATCCAACTTTGATTCTATAAGATACATCTCCATCTAATTCACCATCTGAAAATGCATATATAAACGTATAATTTTTTATAATTATAAATGAGATTTAGTTTTCATAGGAAATGGCGAACATAAGGAAATAAGGTTCATCAACACGTTTTTTTAGCTTTTCCTTGCATTTTTAGGGATCCAAACATACTGATATGGGTGAAGAAACAATATTAGCATTTATTCCTATTTCTGCTTTAGTCGGATGACTAAAAATGTCAATATTACAATAGTTTCAGGACAAAAAATCCCGTTTTTATGAAAGTTGAAGGATTAAATATGAAAATTTTCAAGGCCGGGTATTAAAAATGTCTTTCACACAATAGTTGAAGAACTAACAACAACAACAACATCCAAGCCTTAGTCCCAAAAGATATTGGGGTCGGCTAACATGAATCGATACATGATATCACCAAAAGGAAAAGAAAGAAAATAAAGATAAAAAAGATACGCTATTATGAAAAAGATAATATAAAAAGAGATGAATATACCTAAAATGATAAAATTCAAAGTCGAGCATCAAAAGTGTTACCGAGATAATAGTCGGATGACTAAAAATGGTAATAACGTTTGGCATTTATCTCTTTTAGAACGACTCCTATTCTGTTTTAGGCATCTTCTTAATTACCATTTATTTCTAGTTATAATTAGGACTCTTGTAATAACTATATTAGGGGCATCAATATTGTTCAATAAATAACCTTTGAAGAATCAATTGTTGTGTACCTTGACTAGGTCAGACACTGATCAAGTCTAACTTAGGCTTTTTATTCTTCTTCTTCTTCTCTCATATTCTCTATTTCTTTGTTCTGAAACGAGATCCCAACCACGCTCATAAGACATACCTAAATGGTTTGCTTAGTAGATGGAGAAGGAATAGACGGAGAGAAACTAGGTATGTGAGAAAAGAAATTAAGAGAAATAGGCTGGAAATGGAGAGAAATAAAGTTGTCCCATTGAAGAGAAATATAACATTATAAATGAAATAGAGATAAAATTTGAATCAAAGTGGTTTGGTAAAAGGAAGTTATTAGTGTGATATTATCTTTCCCTTCCTTTCTTTCAAACTAGGATGGACCCCTCTCCCCAACCATTTCCTTCCTATTTCTACCCTACCAAATAAATGAATGCAACATATTTGGTGTTTTCCATTACCTTTCCTTCTCTTCCCTTTTACTTTCTTCCAAATAGGCTTTAAGTCTCGGTAACCTCTGCAAATTCCACCAAATCAGCTTCCGGAGAGAAATTTTCATTAGGAATGCTTGAAAGATTTGTCATCCAGTCTAATGCCCGCTTAGTGCCTAGTACTTTTTAGGACACAGTTGTTTATTTTTGTGAACTTGTTTTCAATGATTGCATCTACAGATACTTGGGACTGGATTTGGAATTATTTTCTATAATCTGGGACAACGGCAGCATGGGGAACTCAGGTAAAAGACTGAAAAAAAGTCAATGAAAAACTTTCCAAATATTGATTAAATTGTCTTATTTGTACAAAAAAATGTCCTCTATATGATACACATCAGCACCTCAGCATATATTACATTATTTCTGTACACATAATGAAGAGCTATTATAAATTTGGCCTATGTTCGGATTTCAAGCTTGGCTCTACTGGCACCTTTTTTTGTGGTATTTTGGTTAACAGAATGACCCGACCAATTTTTTTTGTTAATTGATGCTTGGTTAGCCAATACTAATGTTATGGTTACTAGTCTTGAAAATTTGCTAACCAAAACATTGGTTAACCAAAACCTTGGTTAGCCAAAATCCTTGTTAAATGAAACATTGCCCACCCCAGCTAATATACAACAACAACATCCAAGCCTTAATCCCAAAAGAATTCGGGGTCGGCTTACATGAATCGATCTCTGATATCGGCTAATATGAGCTTATTTATTGTTTTTCATCTCTTCAGTGCCTACTCTATATTCAATGAAGATTTCAGAGAGCTTCCTGGAACTCTCAATGCGGATCACTTAGACAGAGACATTAGGGCAGGTCGGCTTTGAACACCTTAAGTTGACATGTTGAACGCGTAAAATATTCCATGAGACAACCATCACTTGCTGATTAGTTAGGGGCATATGGCTATCATTGTCTATTTGTCTATCATCATTAGTTTGGGGTTACAGACATGCAATTGTGGAACTTTGCACGTGATTTTAAAATACAATACACGGCCTTCTTTCTGTAGCCCTACAATTTTTCATGGTCTATAAAAGTCAAGATATACTTATTTTGGTGATGAATGCGTTGTGGGCTTCTATAGGTCGTACTTATTTCTTAATGAGTGTTTATTTTAGTGGAAATTACCTGTACGGTCTATGTTTTAGAACCAAGTATCATTAATGTCCCTATTGATTTCTCTTTTCATTTATAGACTTTTATGTTTTCAATATTTTTTATTTATTTCACTTTTAGACCGGTTCCGTCGATACATACGTTTAAACCTCAACCATCTCTCCCTCACCGACTTTCCCTTCTCGTCTCACCACATACAACAGATGGAGTTCTTCTCACAGCGGACGATGCAACATATGGAGAAAGGGATGTTGCATCTCAGATTCGACGGGTCGCGACGCGCTTTCCAGGATCGATCGATCCTTATCGCCATGGTCATTCCGAACTAAATCAGATGACCGATGGGCAGAATTCGTGCCATCAATCAGACACTCTAGGTTGGAATTCATGGGTGGTGGAGCCGTGGAGGCAGATTGTCGGTAATCTCGGGGATTGAAATCCACAGACATTCATGGAGTTTCAAGTATTAAAATCGTAGGTAAACTTCACACCATAGCGGCTTATTCTCTAGAAACTGATTCTAGATCAGCCGATTCAATTGTATTTCATACTTTCGTCTTATGCAACGAAGACATCTAGTTTTAGTCCTTCGGAAAGTAGCAGGCTGGTAGGTAATTTGACCTTCAAATTTTCTCTCTTATTTAAGTTCTCTTAGGGCCGATCCTCGGTAAGAATGCTTTAAATCGGTTTGTATTCCTAGTAAGTTTTGTAGTTTGACAGCTTAGCTAATTAGTGAAAGGTTATACTATGATATTTTGAAAAGTAATTTACAGTATGAGGTTTAATAGGTTTGAAAACCAATTTCCAGATCCTGCAATGTGCTCCAGTATATCAATAGTAGAGAATTTTAAGGTAATATCAAAATATTCAACCGGATAAGGAACTGGAAGAGGAATCCATTTAGAGTATGTAAATAGTTTGAGGTTATGTTTTGAAGTTTTCGAATAACTTATCATCTCTGCATAAATGTCAAAAGAAAAATGTATTTGGGATTTTTTACACATGAAGAACCATTTAGCTACTCTCAGTTCACTAGATTAGGCAACTATGCTCCTCTCTGGTGGATATGAAAAAGGCCTATGCTGAGGAAATGCGCAGAACAGTTTATGCTAATTATAAAGGTTTCATTCGATAAGTTTTTGCTAGTCTGTATGTACTTCCTTCTTTCGGCAAGAAACATAGATAACCCAAAAATTGGCTTCCAAATCAAACTTTTAGACAGTGTATATGGCATTAGAGAGAAGATTTTCTGTACAAACTAAGAAATCAAGTGCCATGTTTCTGGATGGATAGTGAGGAGCTTTGGTTGAGAGGCTAAAATGTTAAAAATGGACTCCGTCCATATGAAAACAGTGTTTAGACTCCCATTTCTTTACATTCCAGCACCGTCAATAAAACACATTCATCATATCTTTTTACATACCAATTTAGTAAAACATTAATTAAATTATTATAAGTAATTTTTTCCTTTTAATTTTTTCCCTGAATAATTATGAAATAAAAAATTCACATTTCGGTGTAAAAATAAATAAATTTCAACAATTTTTTAAAAATTTTCCGATCAACTAAAAATGAACTTAGTTCAAAGTAAAGTTCGATTGTGGAATATTCAATTATTTGTTAAGGCTCCATGAATTAAAAATTTGTGTTTCATGTTTTTTTGGGGTTCAAGAAAACTTCGACAGTTTAAACTTCAGTTTTTTTCCCAGTTTATATATTACACATTGGTGTTATATGAAAGATCATAAAAATTTATAGATTTTGATGTATTTTTTGAAAATTTTGGAGAAAAAATAAAAAAGTTATATAAGTTTTTTTAAAAATGGGATTTTATGATGCAAAGATGATATCAGCTGGCATCATCCGCACAAAAAATGAAACCTACGTACGTCCCTTCTATTCTTTTTTCTTTCTTTTTTCTTTTCCCACTCCTTTAAACCAACCCTCTATATTTAATCCCTTCCATCCACTTTCCCACTTTTAATACCCCATTTAAACTTCCACTACACACATTTAGGAGTCTAAAAAATCTACATTTAGCTTTTTAGACTCCTAATACCTTACCACTCCAAATGGTCTTAGGCTCATTCCCTGTAACATCTAATCACTCATTTTGCCATTTCCTTTGTCCATTTTGTATTTGCGGGCACATCTATGCATCATACCGAAAATTCATTTTGTTCCTTAAATAATAATTTCTTTTGAAATGCCCTCCACATTTTTTATATAGACATTTATTTTTATTAATTTTGTTGATTTATCACGTTCTGTTGAAATAAATGATTAGCGTTTTGAAACCTATGCTAGCTGCATTTGACACCGTTAAGTATTTGACAACTGATGCAATTCTAATGGTGGATGTAAGATGTTTTCTTTTGGACTGTTTTCAGTCCCAGACCAGACAAGACTTAAACAGACCAGACCAGACTTAAACAGACCAGACCAGACCAGACTTGGATAGTTATAAAATACACAGAGACCAGATGTTTACCAGACCAGACCACTTCAGACCAGACCAGACTTAAACAGACCAGACCAACAAATTTCAGTCCAAAAGAAAACATCCGAAGTGTTCCAGGTTGTGATTGCCACATTTATTGTTGTGGCCGAGATTGTAGACCGGCCTTGATACAATTCAAGTGAAGCATTTGGAAGCGACATTTTCAAGAGTCATTAAATTAGTTTCTGCACCCAGCTATTGATGTGACATGCCCACGGCATTCCCTTAACTGCATATTTATTGTTGATGTACACTTGGAACAATAATTCCTATGTTGGCATTGCAATAATAGCTTGGATTATATATTTCTTGTGACATTTTTATATGTAATTTTTTGTTTCTTTTTGTTGCATTTTGTGTTTTTTTTGTTGCATCATGTTGTTGTTTCGTGTTTCTTTTTATTGCATCATGTTACACTCGGAACACCTCTCTTGGCATTGCAATAATAGCTTAAATTACATATTTCTTGTGACACTTTTATATGTAATTTTTTGTTTCTTTTTGTTGCATTGTGTGTGTTGGTTTTTGTTGCATCGTGTTTCTTTTTGTTGCATTATGTTTCTTTTTGTTGCATCGTGTTACTTTTTGTTAGTTATTGTTGATATAATTTTAAATTTGTTGTTTATTTATGTTTCTATTGAACTTTGCTATTCTTTGGAATAAAAAACAACAAAAAGTATTATCCACAACAATGAAAAACACGAAGAAACAATACAAAACAAAAAATTTATACTTATAAACAAAAGCCTACACAAAGAAACTATGTGCAACAAAAAGTATTATTAAAACGATGATAATGATAATAATTAAATTTTGTAAAAATCTTTAAAATAATGAATTACTGGCAATAAAAAATCAAAATTTTCCCAATTTTAATTTTTATCTTCCCATTAATTTAATTTTCATAATTTCATCTTGGAATTTCTATACTGTACACACTTTTTAGTTTCTTTAATTTTTTTATTTTTAAAAATTTAAAATCTATTCTCTATTTTATTTTAATATATAAAATTATTTCCACTTTTTAATTTTTTTAGTTTATGTGTTTATTTCTAATTTTGTGATTTTTTATTTATTAATATATTTCGGTTTTATAAAAAGATCTCTTCTATAAAAAATTCTAGTCGCTTTTATATTTTTTAACAGTTTCATAACATTATCTCATTTCACATATTTTGTTTATAATATTTAGGTTTTAGATTTTTGAACTATTAATTTTCGATTTTCAATATTTTTTTAAAGTTTTCGTTTTTATATAAATATATTGTAAAAAATCATTACAAATAACTTGTTTCATGTTTTTTGAGTATTTTATTTGGGATTATTCCTTAAATATTACTAAAAAAAATTTAATAGACAAAAATATGATTTAGTAACTTTTAGTGACTATAATTGTGCTCAAAATTTATATTAAAGTAACTTACATTTAGTTACTATGATATAAACTTTGAAAACAAATGTAGTCACTAATAGTTACTTAATAATATTTTTGTCCATCATATTTTAAAGATTAATATTTACGAATTTTTTTCTTTTTATTTCCGAGTTGTGTACTTTAACTTTTATATACATTTTAGAATATTTGATATATTTTTAAATTAAAATTTCTATTTTCATTCTTAAATTTCAAGTCACAAGTTTTATTTGTGAGTTTTACACAATTTTTAAAATTTTTAATTTTGGTATGTTCTCTTAAAAACAGTAATTTTTATTTTTTCGAATCTTATTATTTGCGTAATTATTCCCAACTTTTTGACTTATTAACATTTTTTATTTTAGTTTTTTGTTAAAAACAAGCAGAAATTGGGACCCGTAATTCCATAGTACGGAGTATTTCTTGATCTAGGAAGAGTAGGAGGCATGGGCGCATGGCTGTCGGTGGACTTGCATTTCCCTTCTTAGCGGTAGAGAGGGGCAGCGGATGGTCTACTTGTGAAAAGAGCGATTTAGCAAGCCTATTTTTGAAAGAAAAATTGAAAAGTGAACATTGAGATATTGAAAAATTGTGCGAGATGCTAGAGTCTGTAAATGTTTTCAAATAAGTTTTCATTATTTTGTCATTTGGTTTCTTGTTATCGTCTATATTGTTAGATTTGTCAGTTTGTTTGGAAATTTGGCCTTGTTTGATGTCATTGAGCATGTTTAGATCTATGGGAATAAGGATGGCTGTGTCAAGCCCGTTACATGGTTAACGATTCGTGTTGCTCTTTCAGGAGTGACCGTTTCTAATGCTCATCATAGGATTTACAGTCGTAGTTGTTGGAGTCTAGTTGGTGTCAGATTTGCTTTTCCTTTGATTGATGTAATGATCCTGAAACTTATGATATGAATAGAGGTTAGTTTTCGTTAAAAAAAGCAACTTTGGTTTGGAAGAAAGGTTAGGGTTTGGAAGAAGATGGGTGAACTCCATGGCGGCGGCGGGTGCGTCTCCCTCCTGAGCCGCCGCCATGGAGTGCAAGCAAGGTTAGGGTTTGGAAGAAGATGAGTGAACTCTGTGTTT